ACCAATAAGATTATATGTATTATATTCAATTATATATTATTACTTTATTTATTTATATAGAAAAATTATCTATATAAAGAAGTCCTTTTTCCTTTGGAAAATAACAAAGTTGTCTGGTTTCTCTCATATTTAATAAAGTTTTTCTTTATTAATCCTAACATTATAATATCTTCACACATTAAATGTTACATCCCATCTTTATGCAGCCTAACTGAATTTGAAAGTAGATTGTTGGCTAATTAAATATGACATGAATTGGAAGCCGGTAAACCAATCATGAAGGTGATAGATTTTTGTAACCAGGTGGGGTTGAACCCTAGACCTTCTCCTGATAATCTATAGAGCACTACTACTGTACTATGGACCCATAGGTACATATATTATTAATTTTATATAAATAAAATAGAATTATATTTATATATAAAAAATATTTAAAAAAATAATTAGAAAATAAAAAGAAAAAATTGATTATATATTTATAAATTAATAATAGAATCATTATTTTATTTTTTAATAAATATTTTTTAATACCTGTTCACCACTGATTCTTGAAAAAGTTCTTTTTATGGTAATCTTCCTGAAAGAAGTACTTACCACTCTCTTAACATACTATCTATATCATAAGCCCAAGGACATAAAAACTTTAAAAATCACTGTTGCATCGGAATGGAACCTCTGAGCAAAGGCCAAGCAAGTTTGAAAGTCTTGCTTGTCTTTTTGTTTATATAAGGAAAAGCCCGTGGCAGTTCTTTATGAACTTGTCTATTTCCATCTTTTACTACCAATGCCCACTAGTTTTATCTCACTATATTTCAACATTACAAATTTATTTCTTAAATTATACTCAAGCAAAGTTTCTAGGTCTCTTACTTGTTTCAACTCAATCTTAACTTTATCAACTATTTTTCTTCTGGCACACAATACTGTGCCAACTCACCATACACAAAAAAAAATTTTTTCAAACACAAAAACCAAAATCAACTTCACCCCTCCAAATGATCATCACTTTCTTAACAACTAATTACAAACTGACAATACAGTACTACAACAACCAAACAAGTCCAAACTGGTTTCAAACAATAACAGCACCAACCTTACATTACACCACCCCAACAATTTACTCAATTATAACAACAATAATGCTAATAATAATAGCTACCCCACACCATACTGCCTCAACAATACTATTAACAATTTATTCAATCCCATCAATCTCTTCAATTCAAGTAACAATAATCTCACCATATTTATATAAAAATATTGGGCTTTTCACATGTCTTATTTAGCCCTTAACTATTAGTAACATTACCACATTAATAATCAAAACCACTTACTCCTATCATGATTAGTTTCCTTCACCAATTACTTATAACATCAACTATATTATTTCTACTCTCAAAGCATATCATCTTTATTTCCTTCTCCTTGTTTCACATATAATGTCACTTACATATCAACAAGTATCAGTTCAAGTTATGAGTTTGAAGGCTAACCTGAGGATTGTGGTTGCAGTGCCTTTATATAATTTGGCAAATTCGCATATTAACTTTGGAAAAGCATTAACCATTTAGCACTAGAACTAATCTAAAGTATATTAAGTGTATCAAAAGTAGTAATAGTTAGCATTGTAGATAGGTTAACATTAATTTATAGATTTACTTTGTAAAGATGTTTGATGTAACTCAGATATTAATTTATGTATCAATAAAGTCTTGCATCTGATGCTTTTTTATGATTTAAAAAAAAAAATAAATATTTTTTAATTATAATTGTTTTTATATAATTATAATTATAATATTTTTTTATTTTAAAATTATTAAAGATCTTATAAAGATTTTTCTTAAAAACTATAATATATTATATTGGATTTTTAAAATTACTGTCTTTTTTTTATTCTATATTAACATTTGAAATTAAATTGATATATAATAATATATATAATAATTAAAGTTTTTTTTTAAAAAAAAAAAATTCTTGAAAAATATTTTTACTGGTTTTTTTTTATAAAAAAGTTTTATAATAAATCTTTTAAATAAATTTCATATATTTAATTACAAAAATAAACAAAAAAATATTTTTGAAAATAAACAAGTAATAATTTTATTTTATTTATTTTTTTTAGTTAAAAAAATCATATTATTAAAAAAAATACATAAATTTTATTATTACAAAAATATAAAATTTTTTTAAAATCTGTTTTTTTTTAATTAACAAAAAATTGATAAAAAGTTAAATAATATAAACTATAAAGTTTTTAAAATACTTTTTTAATTAATATTATATGAACATAACTATCTTGATTTTTTTAATAATTTATTATATATTAATTTTGTATTTTAAAAAATATACAAAAAATAAAATAAAATGATTAATACAATAAAATCAATTAGTTTATAAACAGAATTAATTATTTTTCAAGAATCGAATGTTTAAAATTATATTAATATAAATTTTATTTTATAATCAGGTTTTTTATAAAAAAAATTTTTTTAATTGATTATTTTTTTAATATATTAGTTTTGCATTTACTATAAGATAAATAAAAAAAAAGCCAAGTAAATCGTCATGAATTTAATAATTATATAACATTAAGAAAAGTATATAAACTTTATTATTAAAAAAATATTTATATCTATATTTAAAATTAATTAAAAAGTTAATATAACTGTAAAATTATTCATATAAGAATATTGGTTTACATTAACTTTCAAATTTTCTATCTTAAAAAAATTTATACAGAATAAACAATAAATTACTGTTGTTAACAATCGACAATAACATAATAACAGTAAGTGTTGAAAATTGGTTTTGCAAATATAACAATAATGATAATTTTATATCAACTTCTACCAAGAAATCTTAAGATTAATTTAGTCATTATTTTGTAATTTTGGATAAAATCGGTTTGTGTAATTGACATAACAAATAATCAGAATTTATAATTAAAGAATGATTAACCATATACTGTAAATCCTAAATCAATGTGCAATAATATATTTTTTAGTTCTACGATGTATGCGACACATTAATTATAGTGTTAATATTTTTTTTAATGATGCTGATTTGATTATTGTTAAAGCATCGAAAAATAGAATATTTGACAAGGTAAATTAAAGTATATTATAAATTACGAATTTACAAGATAATATACTGGGTGGACCCCTATAAACAATATATATAATTCATGAATTACAATTATATGATTGGAAAATCCAAATTTGGAAAATGTCTTTACATTATACAGTGTTTTTTTTAATTCTAAGTCAACTTAAAAAATATATTATATATAAAGTCAGAAATTGTGCGACCTAAAATAATATACCTTTATCCAAACTTTAAGCCATGAAAAGAATGAATTTATATCTAAATCCAGACAGTGTTTAAACAACGCCTTTTACTTGAAAATTCACCATATATGAATTTCTAATCTCAACAAGGATTTCCCTGAAGCCTCTCTTCTTGCCAACACCCAATCATTCTCATCTTTCAAACCGATTAACTCGCCATTCTTATTTTTGTATCTGAGATTCAACTTAGACGACCTGAGATTAAACCTGGTTTCAAGATCCAGGCATAATTTATGAAGCGATGAATCAGTTGGGCATGCCATTGCACGTCTTTCGGTTGGGAATATGCAAGTGAGGTATAACTAAAATCGATAAGATGAGTATCACATAAACACAACGAATGGTGATATTAATAATTGTTGAATCCAATTCAATTAATGAAAACAACAATTTATTAGTTTGTATACTTTCCTTTTGTCCATCAAACTTTTTAAATTCATTATTAACACCGTGCCTGCGAAACCACTGCGTTTCAATGTTTGTCTCAATAGTATATAATTTTGATGGCTCCACAGAATCATAAGATGTCAAAAATGCGGTCAGCAATTTATCAAATTTACCATCCGTCGGGTCCGATTTAAGTGTTGTGGGCTCCAATAAATACGGATAACCGCCAAGATGGTGACGATACTGGATTTAATCGCAAAATTACAAAAAAAAAATTACACTTCCAATGTAAAACACCGATAATGACAAAATGCAAACACTTGTCAATAGAAAGTTCTCGAGTATAAGTATTGCAAACACTTGTCAATAGAAAGTTCTCGAGTATAAGTATGTAAAATATTTTTACCATCTTGTCGCCCGTACAAACCAAAGATGAAGAAAAACATACTCACATTCACTTGAAAATCTAATATAAATTTCAAATTGATCTTTCCATCGTTCGTGATCTTAAATCCACACAACTGACTTATTGGAATCGCGGCTTCAATTGACATACTTTCAATGCATATCGAAACGTCTCCTCCCCCTACATAATTATCATAACTTCTATATAGGAATGCTAAGTCTCCACGATAACGTGCCTTAAGTGATGACGGCGGTTTTCCGTTATATATAAATTGACATTGGATAATATCAATCTTTATTAATTCATTATGAACTTGATGCATGCTTTTTTCAGAATTTTTCAGAAGATTCTGTGGCGTTTTCGTTGGCTGTAAAACTTCTGGTTCTCGTGATTGGGGTAGAAATGCATCATCTATCCCAAAATTAAATATGCCATTATTCTGTGGTTGCGCATGTGAGGATTGTGGTTGTACTTGCGAAAGATGTGAATTTTGTATGTTCCTTTGATACAAAGTTGGTGTTTCTAATCTATTTACACTGATATCATTATCTACTCTATGGAGTATCGGTTGATGCGGTTGTATTATCGGTTGACTTGCGTTACCAGCATTAATTTCATTGATATTTGAGGGACCATCAGTTGAGTTATGATCCCTATCAAGAAATTGAATTAGATCAGTTTCAACTGTAGCTGAATCATGTTCCTTGTGGGAAATTTGTCCGGATGATAAAGCACTAACAGGTAAAGTTTGCAGATCAAAAACGTCCCGACTTACACCGGACCCGCGATCATTACCAACATTGTGTTCACGCTCTTTTGGTGAGTAATCACCAATTGACATTGTCGAAAAAATCGCATCAAGGTTTTGTGAATCACTCTGATTTTGATTCTGCACATTTGAATCCGAGGACGGCAGCAATGATGAACGGATATTATCATCGAATCTTCCAGAACGATTCACAGGGATTGGATCAAGTGATTGGTAAAATTCATCATAATGTTCCCCAAAATGTCGTGACATTGGAGAAGATGGTGGAGTTGCTTTATTTATGGAAATCGATAAAGTTAAAATATAATACAGTATAAGCTCAAAAATTAGAACAAGGTCAAATAAACTGTACAATTTTGGTGTCTGACAAAGATTTTTATTTATAGTCGTTACAAAAACAGCACTATCCAAATAAAGAAACTCACCGTAATACGAAATAACACTCTCATCATCTTGCCATATTTCATAATCTTGTTGATCCATAATCTTTTTAGGTTGATAAGTTGGAATTATAATCAAAGAGGTCTCTCTATCAAACGAGAATTAAAAAATGAAACTTATAAAAGAAACTTCAAACAGCGTTGTTGAATGATGTACCATCGACTCCATCAGAACTTTATTAATAATACATGTGGATAAATTTTATAAAATGTCAGTTTGTTTGCATTTTCATTGGACACTGACATTACGCATCAGTATTCTTATTAAACTTGTAAATGCTTAAAGGTTGAGACCTGTGCTTGTAGCACAGACACTGACAAGTTTTCATTAAATCAATACGTTTTGAAGATATAAAGTATTTCAGATAGATAAGTTCTTTATATACTATATGCATGTAAAATAAATATACTAATAATAAAAATCATTTAATATATCAAATAATTTACAATATAAAACTAATAAAAATCTTTATCTGAAATATATTATTTAATAATAAGTTTAGTAATAATTATAAGTATACTTGTATTATAATCTTTATAAAAATACTATTTGTTTTTTAAATATTTTTGACAAATATTAGAAATATAAATATTTATTAATAATTAAATATAAATAATTACATTAAATACAATATTTTTAATATAATTAAGCTATTTGTAAATCTATATTACTTAACATTATTTTTTAATTTTAATTTATTTATCTGATATTTTAATACAATACTTTTGAAAATTTTTAATTAATTATAATTAAATAAAAAATTTATTAAAATATATATACAGTGTGGTTCAATTGCTTTTAAAAAAAATATTTATATTAAATAAGCGCCAATAATTCAACCAGTTTAAATTCAATTACATTATAATTTTATAATTATAAATATTAGATAAGTAGTTAACATTTGAAAATTTTTTTACACCTCTTTAATATTAACTTTTTTTTTTTTTTAGAAAGAATGCTGAAATCTAGCAATGAAACAGAATGACAAAGCATATTATATTTATAGAACAATGATATATGAGACACAAACGAAATACATGTACAAACAAATATTGGTCTGTCTACAATTTATTATAATCTTAAAAAAATCGAAAAAATAGGGTCTGTAAAGTATAGACATGTTGAAGGATAACAAAAAAAAATTACAGGACTGATATTATGAGCAATAAGGCAATATATTTGACAGGAGCCTTCTATTTTGACATGAACATTATTAACAAAATTGTTAAATAAAGGTATAGATATATCACACCAAACAATTGAACAACACCTAGCTGACCTTGGGTATAAAAAAAATGTTCCTTTGGCAATACTAATGCTTACTGACTTGCAAAAAAAAAATTGTGTGATTTGGGCCCAAAAACATATAGATTACAATTGAAACTGGATTGTTTTCACTAACAAAACAGCCTTTTGCCTCTTCAAAAATACTGTGGAACAGTGGTATAGAGGCCCATGACTGACTCGCGCTCTATTAAAAAATTGAAAAAAAATTAATGCCTAAGGAGATTTTATAAAAATGACAAAGTTAGTTTATTTTGTTTTATAGATATAAGTGATAGTAAATTTTATATAGAAATCCTTCATACATACTTATCTGAGATTTGACAAATACTAGGAAACAAGTAGAAGCTTCAGCAAGACAGAGATCCAAAATATACAAGCAAGATCATTAAAAAGTTTCTTAAAAAGAACATACCTTGCGTTTTGGACTGACCGGCCAATATTCCTGACCTAAACCTCATTAAAAACTTATAAAGTATTATAAAAATAATGTGGAAAAGCAAATGCCAAGAGATTTAGATAAATTGAAGCAATATATGCAACAAGAATGGCAAAATATCTCGCGATTTTTCCTAATTGAATTAGTGCAATCAATGAGGTGGCGTTATAAGCTTGTTATAGAAGTAAATAGTGATTACATATCATATTAAAAATATTTTTGATTAAAGTCATGATTTTTAGCTATTTAATAATATATCATTCATGTAATTAGAAGCAACGGTTGTAAAATTATAGTAATTTTTTTAATTTCAAAAGCAATTGGACCATACTATATATATTTAATTTATAAAATTATAAAATTATATATATATTTTTTTATAATTTGAATTTTTAAAATTAATTTGAAAAACCATTTTAAATTTTTATAATCTAGTTTTAATATAAAATTCTATAAATTTTATTTTTTTAAAAAATTTTTTTATATATTTTTAATTTATAAAAATTTTAATTTTATAATTATATATATATATATAGACCTTCCTAAATGCACTTTCTATAAATGCACTTACTATATTTTTTCTCTCTAAATGCATAGTCAAGCTTGGTTCCAAGTATATAGAATTATTAATAAAATTATCTCTATAAATGTACACCTTCTATAAATACATATTTTTCAAAAATTTTCCTATGGTTTTGAAAGCTGTGTATTTAGAGAAAATTCACTATATATATATTTGTTTAAATAAATATTTAATAAACTAGTAATAAATTAATATTTAATTTAATAAATTTTTAAATTAATATTTTTTTTTTCCGTAGTCAAACAAGTACATACTGTTTATTAAATCTTTACAGAAAACAAATAATATATAATATACCGTATTGCATAAACTATTCTACTGACTTGAACACCCATCTTTGACTAATGTCTCTAGGCGTGATTTTGGAGATAAATAAAGTTGTTCTCTTTGGCATTTACTTGCTTATGAAGTTCAATTCCAAAGGTTATTGCCTGCAATTCATCTTTTCAAAATCTAGACTACTTTTTATATTCCTAACCATTTTTTTCCTCTTTGATCCATTCCCAAATCAAGATCTTGTCTTGAATTTGTATGGAGGAGTCTTCTATATTATCTTCTTGTGACTCTCTTAAGCTTGTTTCCTTCTGGTTGGGATCTCTTGATTTCCTCTTCTTTTTCCTTGTCCCATGTATGTCTTTTTTCCTATATCTGAATTTTTTTTTGGGGTTTTCTTCCTGAGTTTTGTAATCTGGCACATCTGTCGTTCCATAGTTTCTTCTTAACTTGTATACAGATATTTCTTGAAAACTTCTTTAGTAACTGCCTTGCTTTATCGGTTTTGGTCTTGACTTTGGCCATTGCTTGTACCCATTTTGATACATCTTCTTTTGAGAAAAACTTAAGCACAGGTTTATGATTTCAATACCTGTGGAAAATTTGCGCCTGTGCCATCTTTGTAAAAGCTCTTGTACTGTAGTTTGCCTATCTTGTATTTTTTCTGCCTGAGTATTTTCCAGCTATTTATTGAGTAGCTGATCCTGACTTTTGCTCCATATTTCTTTATATATTTCTGCGATATTGTTATATGAGAGTAGATGTTCCAAGGATTCTTCTTCTTGTTAACAGTATAGGCACTTGGTCAGGTTTGTGTATTTTGTAGAGAATCTTTTAGTCATGTTGTCCAGGGTCAGTAGTTCGTTATGCATTAATTTTATCCAGAAGGCTTTTTCTCAGACTTGTTTGAAAGATGTTGTTAAAGATTCTCCTACTTTGTTTGCTTCCCAGAGGCTTTTCCAGTCAAAGTTTTTTTGATTGTTTATTTCTCTAGCCCATTTTTTTTGTATTCAATTTTGATTTGCACATTTTGTTAGAGTGTTTTTCTTGTATATTTCTTTGACGAATTCTCTTATTTCTATATCGATGGGAATCTTGTTCCAGCATAGTATTGTTAGAGCTTCTTGTCGATATCAACTGTTCCAGCAAATCTCAGGTTTTTCTTTTGCTGCTTTAGCGAGAAGGTCTACCTTGTTATTAGCCTCATCTTTGTCATGGGTTTTTACTTTGGTCATTTGAATCATGATTTGTTTCTTGTAATTAGGTCTATGCATCTTATCCACAGTTGTCAGTTCTTCCGCTTTCTGTTTCTTTTTCCTGTATATCTAATGTAAGAATTAAGGAGCTTTTGCAGGGTATTGATACAAGTTGTGCAATCTGTTCTGATTTCTATTTAACTTTTCTGAGATATAACCAAGAGTACTAAAATGATTGCAACGAGTTCTGCCTGGAGTGTTGATAGCCAGTTGTCTACTCCTGCTTGAAAGGATCTTCCTGGGTTTGGTCCTTGGACTTGTAGCCAGGCAGCTCCCATTTTTAGTGATTGGTCTCTCGTTTTACCATATGATTCATCTGTGTAAAAACAATAGGGCTGTCAGAAGTTACTTTCTTTATTGATTCTATATTCTTTTATCAGGGATTGTATGTAATCTGGAGATTGAATGTGTTCTTTAATTATTTGTACTCTTCAGTCTTCTATTTCAACTGCCATTATGCAGTTGTTGATAATCTCCTTTTTCTTGAAGTGTTCCAATTCTTTTTTGGCAAGGTTTTTCAAAACATATATACTGATCAGAATTTCGAGTTCATCTGCTTTTCTAAGAGTCAAACATTGATTAATGATATCACATAATAGTGGTCTGATCTTTGATCTTTTGTTGCCTCTATGGGCGTTTGTTCTGATTTTTAAATTAATATTTAAATTAATAATTTTAATAATTAATTATTATTTTAAGTATTAATAAAGTTTAAATAAATATATAATTTATAATTTTATTAATTAATTTATTATTATTTTTATTTATTATTATTTTTTTATTTTTAATCAAATTGTATACTATTTTATAAAAATAAAAATAAATAAAATATAAAATATACTAGTTCTATCAGATATATATTATATACTTAATCAAATTGTTCATACCATTCTGATTAATTTGACTGATCTGACAATTTGTTATATCAGCAAAAATATTATATTTAAATAATATATTATATATGCTAGATATACTAATAATAAATTAATAAAAATAAAAATAATAAAAAATAAAAATTTAAAAATAATATTATTAATACTTATAATATTGCTTTATATTTATTAATAAGTCTTACAAATGAATTTTTATTAATATCAAATATTTATTAAGTTTTATTTTGAAAATCATGATAATAATAACATGCTATATTCATTTTATTTGAGCAATGCTAGTTTTTTCAAAGAGATTATAAGTATATTAGCTAATA